TTTTTAAGTTTTCTATTCTGTTTTTACTGAGACGATGATAAAGTCGGTTTTTCGAACAAATTTTTTTAATCTTTTAACTGCTAGTGAAAGAAGATTTTTTTGTAAGATTCTTGTGGAATTGAAGTTTAAGCAAGAATTCTGACACAATATATGAAGTTAACTTATCTAAAATTCTAATAGAATTACATCAATAATGTTTAATTGTGGTAAAATATTTGTTTCGAATTGAAGTTAACATGTATTGTTAGAAAGTAAATATATATTCTGTTAGAATTAAAACATATGAATTCGTATGTTTTGGTACAATTAAAGTTAGAATGTAAGTTAATTTTTTCCTTTAAAAACATAAATATTTTGGTAGAATAAAACATAGGTTTTGTTTTAGAATTAGATTATATGTATTCGTAAGCATGTGTTATAAAGAAAGTTAGAATGAATATTGAAATAATCGGAAGAATTTTGAGAAAATATAAGATAATATTTTTGTGGGTTAAAACGTATATATTATGATAGATTTAAATAGTAAATAAACATTCATAATTATGGGTTAATAAGTATCGATTAAAAAAACATGCATATGTATTCTGCAAGATTCTCTACGATTGCATTCTCCAATTTTAATTTTAATTTTTTTTTGAACGGCAAATCTACTCTACTTCTAAAGTACTCCTAATTTCCACCTATGTCTCTATTGAGACTTGAACGCTCAACCTTTAGGAAGAAGGGCAACACCCGATATATATCAATGTTGTAAAAAACGCTTGGCGGTAGCTCGGTGGTGGAGTGGGGTCAAGAGATTAATCGGCTAGACGGGGATTAATCGGGGACCATTAATTATTAAGAAAAATGTTCAAAAAATAATAAATCCAACTTTAATCCACATAATATAAGTAAATAAGCATAAAAGTTTAATACCAAGTTTCACAAGAACAAAGTATCGTGCATCTACCCCTACATCTGCTGAAATCTAAATGCTGCAACCAATACTAACATCTTCCATATATATTAGATAATCACCATATAATACCCATGAGTAAACCTGTCCATCAGCATAACTAAACACCAATAAACTAAGCCATTATCCTGTTGGATTAGGTGTCTAAGCCCATAACTATAATTGGTATGTACTTGACCCAAGAATAGCATAGTCTTTTTGGGGTTGCCTTCACCAGAGCAATTTGATAGGATGGATTTTTGAGAATGAGGTTATTTATGATTTATTAATATATTATAAGAATAATACATTAATTGAGAAATTATATTATTTAATTGGTATTGATCAAGAATTAATTTAGAATTATTTTAGTGATCAAAAGAGACTGATTAAATTTACAGGGACTGATTAGGTAAATCAGTAAGACTTATAGTTTCGGCTAATGATCCATGTTGATTAGGGATGGACTAAATCTATGTGAGAGTCCATGAAGATTTAGTCCAAAGGGCCTATCATATGGATTATTGGAATACTTAAAGGCTTAAGTAAATTAGGGTTTTATGTAAGAAACCCTAAGGATTCCACACTATAAATTGAACCCCTATCCTTCCCAAAATCGGCCAATCATTTCCAAGGTGAAACCCTAGCCGTTTTTGGTGCTACCTAACCTTTCTCTCATAAGCCTCTTTTTGCTTTAGGTGTTTGTGACTTATTAGAGGTATCACATTTGAGGTACTAAGCTTTTAAAAGTCCAAGAACTACAAGCTACAACAAAGAGGTATTCATCTAACTAGTTTTTATATTGTAAATCTCCAATTGTATGCTAGCTAGGGTTTATGTTTTGGATAAAATGAAATTGCATGTATAACTTGAGAAACTTAGATCCAAAGCATTTAGGGTTGTATGTGCACCATAGGATTTGTTATAGTGCTCAAAACCCATCATATCCCAAAACCAACTGCATATGATAAAAGAAATCTATGTGTTATAATCTGGTGCATGCGCGTCCACCATAAATGATAAAAATCTATGGATGAGATTGGTTCCTTGGTTATATGGTTTTTATATATTTTTTATTATTATTACTAACCTTTTGTAAAAAAAAAAAGAATATATGTATTATAATGTGAATATACCCTTAAAGATATATAAGTGTAGGTATCAAAATCCACCATAATATGTCGTTTTCTATCATATATGCATTATAATGTCCTTAAACATCACATCTTTCTCCCGAACACCTACCAAGCAATATATATTATAGTTGAAAATGAAAATTATGTAAGAGGAAGATAATGATGAACTTTATAAAATTTTGGGAAGTAAGTCAAGTTAGGAGTTGAATTTTAAGAACTTTGGACGATTACAATGCACATATGATACAAAACGACGTAGTATAATGAGTTTGGGTACTTAAGAGTATATACCTTTAAGGATATATTCACTTTGACCTATATATATATATATATATATATATATATATATATATATATATATATATATATATATATATGTATATATATATGTATATATACTTATATATACTTATCAAAGAAACATTTTTACTTGCACCACATGCATTTGAAACCTCCATGACTTTTCAATTTGTTTCTAATAGTTATTATAAATTGGTTAGATAATGTTGAATTAATGCAACAACTAAATTCTAATCGTAAATTAAATAAACTACAATATTAAAATATCACATGTTACTTCTATTTATAAAATTATGACTTTAACTTTTTAACATATTATACTTAACTTATTAGTTTGGATATGTTGTCGTGTATGAACAATTGTCATTTTAAAGTCATAACTTTTGTATAATTTATGATTTTATGCAAAATAGTTAAATTATTAGTTTTAATATAATGTTAAACGGTTAACTTAAATTGAAATTTCAGTTAAACTTGAAAAAATCGAGAGACTATTTTATAAATAGTTAAAAGTTATAAACTATAGTGTTAAACCTAAATTATAATCCTAAATTAACAAAAAAAACCGTGAAACTGTTTTTTTTAGAATTTTCAATAAATAGCTTAAGAATAACTTACAATTAAAATAGTTAAAAGTAATATTATATAAAAAAATATAATGTTATCTTTAAAAACAAAAACAATATGTTTGTTGTTTTAAATAATTACAATAAAAAAAACTAAGAATATTCACCAAATATATTTTAAAAAAGTTAAATTTCTGAAACCAAATTGAAATAATTAAAAGTTTTCAAATACGTTATTATAAATAACTTACAATAACAATAGTTATTTTAAAGAAGGAAAAATATTGTGATCAATTTCTATCTCACTATACCAAAAAATCATATATATATATATATATATATATATATATATATATATAGGGTTGGGTTCATGTGTTTTTAACATTTATTGTATGCTAAAATGCACCAATATGAATTTAGTAAAAATAAATAATTATTTAATTAAATAAAGATAGATATTAAATGATTTCCATAATTGTATGTATATTAAATAATATCCATAATTATAATTATTTTTTTATGGAAACTAATTAAATTCATCATTAATAATAACATTCTTTCAAAATGAATTCGCATATAGGTTTTCATGTATGGGTTCGTGTTTTGTTTAAGGACTCACTCACTTTAAATACAACAAAGTTGAATGGAATATGAAAGAACGAGAGTGTATTCTAGTAGAATACACTCTCATTCTGTTAGATTATACTTTTATTCTTCTTGAATAAACTCTCATTCTACTATAATACACTCTCGTTTTCCATGTTCTAGGAAACTTTGTTGTATTTTGAGTGAGTGGGTCATGAAACAAAATACGCACCCAAACATGAAACACTAGATGTGAAATCATTCTGAAAGAATATTGTTGTTGATATTAATGATAAATTTAATTAGTTTCCATAAGAAAAGCATTATAATTATGGATATCATTTAATATACATATAATTATGGAAATCATTTAATATCTGTCTTTATTTGATTAAACAATAATTTAATTTTTACTAAATTCTTATTGGTGCATTCTAACACACAATAGATGTGAGAAACATTTGAACCTAGCTCTCTCTCTCTTTTTCTCTTTATATATATATATATATATATATATATATATATATATATATATATATATATATATATATATATATAGATATATTAATATGCAAAGAAGAAAAAATATTGTGATCAATTTCTATCTCACTATACCAAAAAAATCCTAAAAACAACCAATCAAAAAATCCCACCTACAAGTAGCATGACATGGCGAGGAAAAATTTCAAGAACAAAGCCATCATCTACAATTCCATAACAAACCCACTTCCACCCAAGTACCACAAGATCATACCAACGAGTAAGAATAGATGTTTTGGCATTCATTTTCAAATGACTTTTTGGACTTTTGGCTTTTTCAAAATGTCAAAAGTTTAAAAAGTTGTTTGGTAACTTCAAAAGTTTTTTAGATTAACTTTTTGAGAAAAAGAAAAAGAAGGTGTTTAAAAAGTCACAGATTTGTGACTTATAGTAACTTTTGGCTTTTTTTCCCTTTACACTCTCAAAAGTTCATAGAACACATTTTAAAAGTTTCTTTTGAAAAAAGACATAAATCAAAAAGTCCTTTTTAAAAAGGATTTTTTAGTTTAAAAAGCAATCCCAAACACCCCTCAATCTGGATAGCCGGTTTATCCCTACAACAAATCTCGAACTTCTCTTCGATCGCATGTTTCTTATCCCTATTTTTTCTTCTCCCTCCAATAGATCAATAAAAATCAGAGATTCGCCCCCTCAAGTTGACAAATCAGCTTCTCCTTCGTCTCATTGGATCGAATGCAACCCGTTCTTCTAATTTCAGAATTGATGGTGTAGGTATGGTGGTAGGCGTGATGGAGGTAAGTGGTAATGGTGAACAGATGAAAAACAGGGGATGATTCTAGTTCGTCAAGCAGATGTAGCGAGTTCTTGGTGATATAAGGGGTGCAATAGTGCTGAATTGAGATGTGGAGAAGTTGATTTTGGAGAGTTTGAATATTATAGGCGGTGAAGATGGTGGCTGGTATGGCGGATAAAGGCTGATTATGGTGGTAATGGGTGGTTACCGGTGATGGAAAAGGGTACTAGTTCACCGTCGGAGAAAGAGGAGCTTTCAGAGATAAGGCGTCGCCGAAGAAGAAAGCTTTGTTGGATCTCTGTTCTTCTATTTGTGTGACCTGCAATGGGAGGAATGCCTAGAGAGGAGGTGGTAGGAGGGGTCTTAAAACCTGTTATAGCAAGTTAAGTGACCTGAATAAACAAGTGAAAACAAACTTTAAGTCCTTAGACTACAAAAAAGGGACTTTTTAAAACAAATGTGAAAAGTTGGTAGGGCTAAATTGACATTTACCCGTTTCCTGGGGGGGGGGGGGGGGACTGCTGCTTCTTTTCTTTGATTCTGGTGTGAAACAGTTGGTAGTTAAGCACGATGCTATTGTTCTTCGTTTTTTTGGTCTACAAGAAGTTGGAGGCGTTGTTAAGGTCGATGATATTGTGGAAGGCATAGGAGATATGGCTGCTAAAGATTGTGCGTGAAATATTAAGAGTTTTTGTTGTTGGCGTGATAATTGTGCTCTTAGATCGCGGTTATCTTTTTGTAAGTCGAGGAGAAGTTTTGCCTGATCTATTTCTGAATTGGGTATTTGGGTAGTTTCTTCGATTGTTGCATATGCCTGGAAATCAAGAGCATAACAAGTTAACAACTCATTAAAGTGTGCTTGTTTGGATGGAATAAAAGATTCCATTACAGGAGTTTGGGAACAAACCTTAGTATAGCTCTATCTGCCCCATAAAGCTGCCAAATGACCGGATTGGCTTGTAGAATTGTAGTTTGGTTAACATTATTCATGTTGTGGAGGATAAGTATATGACGATTTAAAGAGAATGCACGATTTTTTCAACAAAATGCCAAGTGGACATTTTTTGATACCGGAAGTCATGACTTCTCACATTCGAGAAACCGGGGAAAAAGTGGTAATTGGCAACCAACGGTTAAAAAATCCGTTTGCTTTTATATAACAGTTGATCGATAAAAGAGCTAAATAACATACTATTATCGATGGCGCATTCTACTACGATAAAATAGTCCACAAAATTTTATGTTCTTGTTTCACAAACCTCACTAATTTGAAACAGAGTCTCCCAAATTCATCTAGTTGTATCTTTGACTATAAATTTCAAAAAGGAGTAAGAGTTGCAGATGAAAATATTTTATATGCAATAGAAAATACCATGAATTTCTTTGATTTTTTCGACAAATACAGTCTTGATTGAAAAGTACTAAATACAACATTTTTCAAACAGTCTTTTATCGGAAATAAGCATATGGGAAACCGTTGAAAGAAGAGTTTTTATAAGACTCAAATACAAATGCAGTTTGGATTTTATTCCACAACTCAGTTTGGATTTTATTCCACAACTAGAAAGGATATTGAAGGACTCAGAAACCTTATAGCATCTAACGCTGTAGTTATATGATTTATGAAGACATGGGGAGGTAATGATGCTCCTACACTAGCAAAAATATTAGTTGCATCATCGCCTAACGCGGGCCCATGGCTTCATAAAACCCTGATGTTGGATCCTCTAAGGTTTCTTAGTTTTTCAATATCTTTTGTAGTTGTACAATAAAATATAAACTACATCTGTATTTTAGCCTTAGAAAAACTTTTCTTTCTAAGGATTCCCATATGTTTATTCCGGATAAAAGTCTGTTTTACAAACGTTGTATTTAGTACATTTTTCAAATAATACTGTATTGTCGAGAAAATAAAAGAAATCCACGACATTTTCTAACCCATAAAAAATATTTTCACCAACTCATATTCCTTTTCGAAACTTGTAGTCGAACTTACAACGAGACGAATTTGGGAGACCCTGGTTTCAAATTACTGACGTATGTGAAACAAGAACACAACATTTTGTGTAATTTTTTTATCATAGTAGAATGTGCGATCGATGATACTACGGTATTTAGCTCTTTCATCGATCAACCATTCTAAAAAAACAAATGGATTTTTTAACCGTTGGTCGCCAATCACCGGTTTTCCCGGTTTCCCAAATGTTAGAAGTCATGACTTCCGTATCAAAATTTTTCACTTGGCACCCCATTGAAAAAATCATACATTTTTCTTCAAATCGTCATACTTATCATACACAATCATGTTGACCAAACCAAAGTTCTATGAGTCCACCAATCATGTCATTTGGCGGCTTTAGATCATTTGACTTTGGATCATTTCCTTTTCTACCACTACTATAATTGCTATTATACTGGCCGAATAACTTGACACTTTTTAATCTCTTCATTTAAATGTTCAACTTTCTTCAAATACTCCCCGTAATCACAACATCCTAGGAATTTCTGACTCTCCCCAATGGAAAACTTAGCCAAGTAACTATGAAAAGGTTTTTCAAAGGCTTCTTCGTAGCCAAGCTCGCGAAAGTTCAATAAATATGTTTCTTTGACATCAAGCTTGCGAAATTTCAATAACATGTTTAAAATGTTTCCCATGAAGCTCGTGTTAACTTCACCTTCCCTTTCTATTTGAAAAAACTCAGGGACGGTGTCTTTGAGCTTTGTTTGGATCTTATCTGAGCGAATGATATTATCGCGCCATTAATCGAGGCCGATTTGTGAACTGGAGTTTTACGTCTAATTGGAATGAAATTTTTGTCCAGGTAGATTCGTATGACGCATATCCTTTCTAAGGCTTTGTTGTGCTCCTTCCATTTTCGGCTCAGTTCTTCTAGAAATACCATACCTTGAAAGGTGTCAACCGATGCTGCTGTACTTTTCATTTTAAAGTCATCACTGATAAGAGTTCAGAGTATTACATTTCTCCAAATTTGAGCTGGACTTGGTTGTATGTGTGTCTGCCTTGACATACAAAAACACCATTGCAATGTAATGGAGTAATAAGAATGGAAGCTAATTAACATCATATATGTTACGTACATGTATTCATCTGCTATTAATTAGAATCTATTTACAATTTTTTTTTAAATATCTTTATAAATGACAGAAGTACGTAAACTAATAGACTACACACCAAGATCATAACAAGTAAAATAAGCATGCACCCTTGTATTAATTAGAACCAATGTTCAAGACATAGAACAAAAAGATCTGTTGAATATTAAATATTTGTTTTCTGTATAAAGTTGATGGTTTGACTATACTAAGAACACTTACTAGAGCAAATTTCTATCAATTTAAAGATCAAAAATTCAATACCATGACAAACTAAAACTAAAACATGAACGAGAATTAAAGACAAAAAAATACAGGGCTAAAACTATGCAGACAAGTAAGATTTTATCAAAATTAAAGCAGCTCCATAACTCCATATATGATCATAGTCTGATGATGCAAGACCTCTCCTTCCCCTCACACTAACCAAATCCCTCCATCTGAAAGGCCAATGCTGAAGTTTGATCTCAATTACCAAAAAAACGATCACCCCGCTCATGGAGATATGTGAAAAAAAAGCTATTTCCTGTTCTTTACATAATTTTTTTTGTCATGACAAATCTTAACACACATTCTAGTAAGAAGATTTCCATGTCCACAATCATATATTAGGGAAAAATTCATGCATAACATGGTTTGGCAACTTTCTTTTCTCCTCACAATGTTGATTCGATATATAATGTATAACAATATCCCTAAATTCAATCGTTCTTTCCTTCACCAAGCATATAAGGACGAATTTGAATTAAATAGAAGAAAGTTAATTACCACTTGACGAAGGAAGGAAAAAAGGAGGAGAAAATTAAACCTGTAAAGTTCTTCGATACTAAGGTCACCCACGTTGTCTTGTTCTTGAATTTCACACCCCAAGATTTTCCAAATTTTCTCGGCATAATTGGGATCTGCCTCCGCCCGATTCCTAAGCACCTCTATTGGAGGATCATGTTCTTCTGACAACTCATCCTCCTTTCAAAATCCAATTTAATCCAATTTTCCCAGCTACAAGATAGAACGAAATTGGTGATTTCTTTGAACCCAGATTAAGGTATTCTGATTCGTTTGCGATTTATTCAACCAATATTTGCAGTTTTTATCCCATTCTGTCACGGGACTACTCGATCACCGTGTGCCACTTAGTGTTTCTTCTACTAAGTCACACTTACTACGATTCATCGATGATGTACTAACGCCTTAGAAAGCAAGAGACAAGGGTTGAGAATTACTACAAACGAAAGAGAGGTTCTATTACACGAATTCAAGAGAATACAAGACAACTTCCGATGATCTTGGAACAAATGGCTACACCCCTATTTATAGGGTCATTCTAGAATAATCTATCTAGATATTTACATGTTTACATGATTCTATAAGGATCAAGATAAGTCTTCGATGTCCTAGCCATACTCCAACAACTTCTCGATTACTCCGGAAAATTCTAGATACGGTCCGTGACACCCTCCCCCACCAAATTCCTTGACGTCCTCGTCAAGATTTAGTTCGGTAAGCGTCGATCTTGTCACGGAACTGCCATAAATCTTGTTCTATCTCCCAACTAGATTTGCTCTCAGGTGATCATTTCCATCGTACGTAATACTATGTCCAGTTGGGCGATCCTATTTTGCGAACCACTCTGTCGGCTAAGATTTCATCCATGTCCTTATCATACGAGACGACATTGGCGACTGGGGCGTGGTGCGATTCACTTCTAGATGGATCCTCATTGTCTCGATTGTACTGTTTTAGGAGACTTACGTGGAATACGAGGTGGATCTTCAAGTTGGATGGTAACTCGAGTTTGTATGACCCGTGTCCCGACCTTTTTAACAATCTAGTAAGGCCCCTCGTATCTTCGAGTTAGGCCTTTATATACTTGTCGAGTAGATTTGAACATTCTTTGGGGAAGTTTTACCATTACTTCGTCCCCCATAATGAACTCTCTCGGTTGCCTTTTTTCATCCGCCCATTTCTTCATTCGTTTGGTTGCCTTATTCAAGTAAGACTTCACTATGTCGGGTTCTTCATTCCACCCTTTTGCGAACTTATATGCGGGAGGGCTTGATCCTTTGTAGCTTTTAGTTAATTCGTGTGGTGTTAACGATTGTTGACCTGTAGCAATTTCAAAGGGACTCCTTCCTGTAGCATCGCTTAGTTGTAAGTTATAAGAAAATTGGGCCACATCAATCAACTTGGCCCAATCTTGCTGGTTCGCACTCACAAAGTGCCTTAGGTAAATCTCGAGCAAGTGATTCACCCTCTCAGTCTGGCCATCGTTCTGAGGGTGAAAACTAATCGAGAAGTGGAGATCTGATCCCATGAGTTTAAATAAATCTCTCCAAAACTCTCCAGTAAAGAGAGGATCTCTGTCACTTATAACTTTCCGTGGGAGTCCCCAATACTTCACGACATTCTTGAAGAATAGTCGTCTGACTTCTTCGGTTGTGCAATCTCGTGGGGCTGTAATAAATGTTCCATATTTCGAAAACCGATCTACAATTACCATTATGGAGCTGCATCCTTCATACATTGGTAATGCCGAGATGAAGTCCATCGATATACTTTCCCATGGTCGTTCGGTAATCGGTAGTGGTTCTAGTAGACCTGTCGGATTTGCTTGTTCTACCTTGTCTTGTTGGCATATAAGACAAGTCTTCATATATGCATCCACATCGCTTCGCATACTTGGCCAATAATATGATCGTTCTATAATTGCCCTTGTACGATGGGTGCTCGGATGTCCAGCCCACTTAGAGTCGTGGCATTCCTCCAGGACTT